TCAGGTCTGTAAAGAAGGCTCAAAGGTTAATTGATGTGGTATTCCCCTCTGTATGCTATGAATATGTTCTATTACTATTGGTTAATAAAGAAGCTGCTCTGACCTATAGCAGGGCAGAATATAGCCAGGCTGGAAAAGATATATCGAGAAAGCAGGCAGAGTCAAGGAGACGCCATGTAGCTGCCAAAGGAAAAAGATGCCAGTTGCCAGTCAGAACCTTACCAGTACACCACACGTCTCATGGCAGTAAACAGATTAATAGAAATGGGTTAATTTAAGATGTAAGAGTTAGCTAGAAATAGGCAGAAGCTATTGGCTAAGCAGTGTTGTTGTTTTTTGGGGTTTTTTTTTGTTTTTTTTTAAATTATTTATTTATTATATATTTCCAGGATACAGTGCCAGATATTACAGATGGTTGTGAGCCACCATGTGGTGGCTGGGAATTGAACTCAGGACCTCCGGAAGAGCAGCTAGTGCTCTTAACCTCTGAGCCATCTCTCCAGCTCCCCAGTGTTGTTATTAATATAGTTTCTGTGACTATTTCGGGTCTGGGCAGCCTGTAACGAATGAGCAGTCTCTGGTTACAAAATAGCACACCAACGTGGGGCAGCTACATCCACAGAAAACCTGAGAGAGCTTGGAAAAAAACTCTAGACACAAAAAAACAAGAGTTTAGCGCAGCTTCTTGGTACCCACATTTTTCCCCCCTGGATGGCTCTCTTTGCTGGTGTGAACAGGGGCATCATGGCTCCTTTAAGAGAGGTCTTCTGTGCGGCTTCTTTAGGAGCGGGCTTCCTGGTTTGTGCTAGTTGCACAAACAGCTCTGATTCTTTCAAGAGACTGAGCACTTAAATGGGGTCTGTGAGTAGTGTGTTACAACTGCTTAATGGAGAAGTAGACCCACAGTGACACTTGAGTAAGGGGCCATGTGTATGGCTCTCTGAGACAGTGAACATGCCTCCATCATGTTGGACTGGGTGAAGCCAACAGGCAGGGCCATGGAGTTGGTCCTAGCCACACCCACTTAGCATTTAAAAGAAAAAAACGTTCTTGGTCAAAAAATAATTACAGATATGCATGCAATAAAGACAAATTCAGATGGAAAATCCTCCTAAATGAGTCGCAGTGTTGGATAAATGTAGATAGTCTTGAGAGAGAGGAGAAAGAGCATAGACAGTTATAATATAAAAGAGTACAAACAGTCATCGACTAAAGGAGTAAAAATAATAAATATTAAACTTGTAGAAAAAGTAATAGAGGGGCTAGACAGATGGCTCAGAGGTTAAGAGCACTGACTGTTCTTCCAGAGGTCCTGAGTTCAATTCCCAGCAACCACATGGTGGCTTACAACCATCTGTAATGAGATTTGGTGCCCTCTTGTGGCCAGCAAGCATACAGACAGAAAATTGTATAAATAATAATAAATAAATCTTTAAAAAAAGAAAAAGTAATAGAGTAATAAAAGTAAGCCACATAATGGTGGAGTACACAGAGAGTCTGGATTATGTATATTATTGTGTTATCTTTGACTTTTTTTTTTTTACTGTGAATGAGCTAAGTACAGAGAGAGATCTGATTCTGGGGGCTGCTAAGTTAAACCAACATAAAGGAATCTTGACTTCAAAATTTGGGCCTAAGGAAATGTTTTGGAAAAGAGGTTCTGCTTTTGTTTCCACAGAGGATAAAAAGCTGGGGATTCCCTACCAGCTAATATGGTTTGATCAAACAAGACCCCCTGAAACAATGGCCCAGAAGGTCCAACATCCATGACAGCTTCAGGACTGCTGGCTGAGATGGACCTACCACATAGGATACCCCTTAAAAGACCTGAGTAACAACACCTCAAATCAGCAGGAAGCAGTCTAAAGAACAATGCCCAAATACCCTAAATGACTATTTATAAATGTTTGCTTACATTTAAAGGGAAATATGTTATAGAGATGAAAACTTTGCATTGGTATAGATCTTGGTCTATTTATTTATTTGTTTATTTGTTATGTATACACTATTCTGTCTGCATTTATGCCTGTAGGCCAGAAGAGGACACCAGACCTCATTACAGATGGTTGTGAGCCACCACGTTTGGAAGAGCAGGCAATGCTCTTAACCGCTGAGCCATCTCTCCAGCCCTATTGAGACAAATTTAAGGTCAATTTTGTTATATGTATTTTTCTGCTCTTGATTAAGGTATTATATTTTTGCAGCTCATTTAAAAATGTAATGCATAATTAAGAAATACAGGCTAATAGTCATCTATAATAGTCAATTTTGAAGTCACGTTAGTTAGGTTTCTAGACGTACAGAGATATATTTCCGATGGATAGTTATTCTTCAAACCTTTCAACGACCAGCAGAATATGGCATTTAAAATGTTTAAAAACTTAGGACTTTTCATGACAATGAGACACATCTGCTCCTGGTAGCACCAATCTACTTCAAGAGGATGATGGGCATTGAAGAGGCTCCTTATGGAGTTGGTTAGCTATTTGGGCAAGAAACTGCTCTTTCCTGGACTGTTTGATGTTACGCTATATAAACTGGATATGCAGGACCTGTAGAAAGATTACTGCTGAAGTTGCCTAAAGAAGGTAAGATGGTCCTTTGGGGTTTCTGCTTTATGAAAGAGTCTGCCATACATTTTCAGGACACAGAGGAAAGTGACTGACAAACTGCCAATATAGGCAGACCTGTCTTTGAAATTTCCTTCTTCATGGAAAAGTCTGCCAGATACTATGGGCCAGTAGGCTGATGATGGATACCCCAACAATACAAAAGAACTGTGGGTTCAGGCAACGCGATGTCTCTGTCAATTCTAGAACTTTGTAAGTTGCTTTCAATGCACTTTCTGTTACTTAGGTAATATTATATCCTTCTGGGGTCTTTGATGGAGTTGAAGAATAGTTATAATTATAGTTTTACTTAGTTATGATAAAAGATAGATACAAATATTATAACTGCAATTCTTGCTTGATACCTGTTTTGCTATATATAATTTTACTATGTTAAAAGTTAAAACCTTCCTTTTTATTTAGACAGAAAAGGGGAGATGATGTGGGATTCCTCTCTGTGTGCTATAAATATGTTCTATTACCATTGGTTAATAAAGAAGCTGCTTCAGCCTATAGCAGGGCAGAATATAGTCAGGCTGGAAGAGATAGAGAGAGTAGGTGGAGTCACGGAGACGGCATGTAGCTGCTGAAGGAGAAAGACACCAAATGCCAATCAGAACCTTACTGGTAAACCATGAGCCTAGTGGCAATACACAGGTTAATAGAAACGGATTAATTTAAGATGCAAGAGTTAGTTAGAAATATGCATAAGCTATTGGCCAACCAATGTTGTAATTAATATAGTTTCTGTGTGATTATTTCAGGTCTGGGCATCCACGAACAAAAGAGCAGTCTCTGTCTACAGTCAATGAGTAGTACTAGCCGCTCTTCTAGAGGACTTGAATTCAATTCCCAGCACCTACACAGCAGTTAACAACCATCAATAGCTCCAGTTCCAGGAGATCCCATGCCCTCTTCTGGCCTCCGTGGGCATGAAATGCAAAGAAAGCCCATTAATCTCCCTAATGCCCCCAATCCTTTTAGCATCCAGACTGACTTCTCTGAATTCTCATCCCCATAATCCTCACTTCTTTAATTTTCAAAGGAACACAGCCCTGTACTTTCCCAAATGCTTTCAAAGAAAGGAAAAGAGTATCTTCCAGGATCATAAGCTGTTAATATCCTTCCTCTGGCACCTCTATCTCCAACTCCCCTGATTCCATGAATTTAACTTTTCCCCATCCACGTATGTGCTGAGGGTCCTATCATATAACCCCAATCATGTCCGAGTAGTCTGACCGCGTTCCATTTTCTCCCCTTGCTCTTCTTCTACCCACCTGCAGGCTAATCATTCAGAACAGGATGCATACCAGATACCTAACTAAAAGGAAAATTGGAGAAACCTATATACCTAGCTGTAACTGAACAAACAAATCCAAACTGAACATGAAACTCAGTATCTCCTAATGTTATCATAAGGTGGCCATTACAAGCACATGAAATGCAACCTGAAAAACAAAGGATCTGCTACTCTTTTACCAAATGACAGCTCATCCTAGCCTGAGACTTATTGTCACCTGTCTGTTTCCACAAGCTAAAATTGCCTCTTTTTCACTCTTTCACATTGAGATATTCACTGGTTGTCATCACGGTTCTCATTATACAAACGCATCCTTTACGCAGTATCAACGATCCGTTATGCGACGTCCATCAAAATTTGCCAAATGTTAGGCCCCCAAGACAAAAGACTACGCAATCACGCCACAGAAATCACGGCTTAGGCACGCCAGCTAAGGAAACCCGGGATACAATACGCCACAGAAAATGGGACCCGCAGCAAGGCGCTGAAGCCTCCATGATGGTCTAACAAATTCCTGATAGAGGTTTTATCTACACGCGGCAAGGAATCCATGCAACTGGGGGAGGGGATCCACAGCCCCGGCAGCTGTGCCCCGCAGCGCTTCATGATGGCCTCGGGGAACAAGCGTGCAGAAAGCACCCAACACTCGAGAGAGGCGGTCCAGGCCTCTGCACGGGCAGACATGCGTGGCTCGCCCCTGCACTAGGATCGTCCTGGATTTGCTGGGCCTGGCCGCGCGCAGCGGCTCGGGCGGGATCGCCCGCAAACGCTCACCTGAGACGCCCTCGCAAGACTAGGCAGTCGCCTCGGTCTGCGGCCCCGAGCTCTCACGATGCACTGGGTTTGGGAGGAATCCGCCACTGCACACGAGCGACGGAGACTCGCACCACTGATGGGCGAAACCCGTCAGCTTGCGCAAGTCAGGCGCAGGCGCAAGCGCGGCGTCACTAGCGAGGCGCGTGGGCGGCGTGACGTCACCGCGTAGGCGTTGCCGATCGATCGGGCCTCTCTTCCGTCGCTAGCGGGAGGCTAGTCGGGTTGTGCACGATTATTGTCTGCTGTCCTACAGCCCCACGGCCCCCGGTTGTATTAATGCCAGAGTCGGGCGTTGTCCCCCGAGTGCCAGAGACTGGTGGGGGTGGGGGGAAGGGGAGAGAAAGGAGACTGACGAGGTGCGCGCATGCGCACGACGCTACCACGCGGGACGTAATCTCCCTCTGGCCTGGACCCGCAGAATGGAAGAGCTCGAGAGCGGAGAGGGAGGGTTGGCAGGGCCAGAGGTAGCCATGGCTGCCGAACCCGCGGCGCCCTCCCTTGTGGATCGATACTTTACTCGCTGGTATAAAGCGGGTAAGTGTGGAATGATAGTGAGCTCTGCGCTACCAGGCGGGATGCCGCGGGGACTCCTGCTCCCCGGTGTAAGGCTCCTGTGCGCTAACCTGAGCTTCCTAATACCAGGGACACAGGGTTGTATTGTTGGAGAACTAATGTAGGCGCATCCAATGTCGGAAGCGCAGGGCAATGTGGGGCGGGGGGGGGGGGGGGGGGGCACGGTGACGTAAACGAAGGAACCCTGCATTGGGCTGCCTAGTGTTTGTGTGTCTGTGGGGCTCAATCCTAGATAGGCGGGAGGAAACCTTAACGCTGAAGAGAGCCTTAAGAGAAATTCAGGAAGCAGTATCTAGTGTTAAGAAACCGCTCTTATTGTCCACTTGGCGTTTCAAAGTAGGCTCTCCAGGGTCCTGTTCCGTGCGCCCAGAAAATATCGATGCCACGTTTGGGAATTCTCCAATCTCTGTTTTAGCCTTTTTATTCCAGGAAAATGGTGGATGCACACACGAACAGATAGACTGGGCCAAAATTAGCATAAGCAACCCTCCTCACGACTGAATTTTCCCAAAATGTGGTTTTTGCATAACTTAAAGACAACCCTTGGTACTGGAGGAATGGCTCAGCCGTTAAGAGCACTGCCTGTTCTTCCAGAGGACCTGAGTTCAATTCCCAACACCCACCTGGTAGCTTCCAACTGCCTGTAACTCCAGTTCCAGGGGATTCTGAAAGCCTCACATAGACATACGTGCAAGAAAAACACCAATGCACGTAAAATAAAAGTAAATAAATCATTTTAAAAAAATGACAGCTCAACAACACCACAGTGTAAGCAATGTGGTACTTATTATGTTTCTCTAATAGAAATAATAGGTATACTCATTTTAAAGGGACAAGATGGAGGAGTTAATAACCTTTCCTGCCTGAACAATGCATAAATGATTCTGTCTGGATTAGGCCCCTTAAACACTCCATAGCTGTATTTACTTCCCTCTGTCATCGGCATTAGGCCCAGCTTCACAGTGAACTATCTCCATGAACCAAAGAGGGCAATCACATGGTAATAGTAAATACCAGTTAAAGAACCAGCAACTCATTTATTCCTCTAGATGTTAAAGGAAAACCCTGTGAGGACCACTGTATACTACAGCACTCCAACCGGTAAGCAAACCAAGAATTCTTCAGTTACCAACACTTCTGGTAGTTAGCCTAATGTAGTCTTGGGCTGGATATGAGCATTCAGGAAATTCGGGCAACGAATAGCGCCAAGGTGGACAGCCAAATCCACTTAAAAGCTGAGAAGGCTTGGGAAGGAATTCCAGACACAAAAGGACAGGGTTAAGCATGACTTCTTGGTAGCAGCATTGTCTCTGGTGCGCTCTGTTTGCTAGAGGCAAGCATGTCTCATTTAAGAGAGATTTTCTGACTCGGCTTTAGCTACAAAAACCTTGCAGCTCTTTTAAAAGGCCCCATCACGAAACACTTAAATGGTGTTGGTGAATAGCTGACTGCATGCTTTTTGATGGTGGCAAGGATCTTGAAACTCCATAGAGTTCTGGCAATAAACATGGCTCTGCTCAGTACCTCCCCCATGAGGCTAGCCTCTCAGAAAGCTAAGGAATGGGGTGAATCCAGCCGTCAAAGCCACAGCTTTAATCCTAGCCATATCACTTAGGACATTAAAGACTCATGTGATCAGAAAAAGAGATAGACAGTAAAAATAGATTCAGATAAAAAAAAATAAAACTCTAAATGGTTTACAGAGAGTTTAAAAATTTATGTCGGCTTATGGGGGGAAATAAAAAGGATAAAGTCCTTAAACTAAAAGAGAGAGAGAGAGAGAGAGTAGTTGGATGTGGTGGCACACACCTTTAATCCCAACACTTGGGAGACAGAGGCAGGTGGATCTCTGTGAGTTCAAGGACAACCTTGTCTACCGAGTGCCAGAATAGCCAGAGATACACAGAGAAACCTAGTCTCAAAAAATTAAAAATAAAAATAAAAGAAATAGAGTTTAAAATAAAGCCACATAAAGACAAAACATACACAAAGTCTGGATATTCTATACGGCTGAAGAAGGAGCAACAGCTGCTAAAAGACATTTGATTACAAATGCTTCTGGATTAATACAACATATTTTTAAAATGCTTCAAAATTTAAGTCAAAAGATATGTTACTTTGGAGAAGAGGTTTTGTTTTTGTTTCCACAGGAAGTGAGAGGCTATGGATTCATTATGGGTTTAAAAAAATGAGGTTTGATCAAGGAAGACCCCCCTGAAGAATCCAATAGGCGTGGGTGGTCCAGATGATCCAGCATTTCAGAGCACATTTGTTGCAGTTTCCTCTGAGTTCTACATCCAGAACGGTCTCAAGACTGCTGGCTCAGATGATAAGCCTCAAAGAATACTCCAGTCAGGACTTGATCATAATTCTAAATCTTCTTTAGGTCCCCATAAGATTATCAGAACCCCCCCCCCCCCAATCAGCAGGAAGTAGCCTGGAAAACTATGCCCACATTCCCAAATATGGATTATGGATATTTGTTTTTAGAGTGTTGGTTACAAATTGTTATGAATAATGGTCTAGAAAAAATGCTGAACAAAGGAGATTAGATTCAGAGTTCTCGTTTTGAAAAAAGGGGGGATAGCAAATGGGACAATGGTCTTGTATTGTTTTAATAAAATGCTGATTGTCCAATTAGCCAGGCAGGAAGTATAGGTGGGGTGACCAGAAAAGGAGAATTCTGGAAAAAGGAAAGGTTCAGTTTGCAGTTGTCATCCAGATGCAGAGGAAGCAAAATGGGAATGTCTTGGTGATAAACGGTACCAAGCCACGTGGCTAACACAGACAAAAATTATGGGTTAATGTAGGGTATAAAAGTTAAGAAGCCTAAGCTAATAGGCCAACAAGTTTATGATTAATGTAGACCTCTTTGTGTTCCTTTGGGACAGAACAGCTGCGGGACTGGGTGGGACAGAAACCTCTGTCAACAGTCTTCTCCAGTGTTGAGATGGTATTTTAAGAGTATAGTGGCAGGTGCAAGTCATTTACTGTGCCAACCACTGAAGAGCCAGACCTATGGAATGACACACTGTGGAGGCCTGTGAACACAGTCATGCCTTGCTTCTCTGCTACTTCAGGGTTAGCTAAAGACTCAAGATACTGTTCCTTTTCTGGGAAGAAAATTCCGTTTTCTCCTCTTCCATTATTATACTCCCCCCCTGCTACATTTAGCCTCCAGTCACAGCCGAAAGAGGTGATGATTGGACTGCATGAAGGCTGGTTGGGCAGTCGTCTCTCAGTAGATACTGTTACAGCAGGGTGTCTCCAGCCATGCAGCAATGAAGGATTGACTTCTTTTCTCCTTGTAGAATATGTGTCATCACACTGGCAGGCTCTCATCCCGTTCTTCAAAGTGGCAAAACCATTAAAAGTATCTCCTATCAGATCAGTACCAACTGTAGCAGACTGCAGAACAAAGTGTCTGGGAAATTTAAGCGGGTATGTTCCTATTATTCTGTGATTTTCCCCCCTATATTTGTGCTATAATGGAGCCAGACTTTTTCTGGCAGTTCAGTGTATTTTCGGTATAAACAACACCCACCCCTGAAAAAAAAAGAAGAAGGTGTTCTGGAGGTATAATGTCTATCATAATAGATTCTGTGTCCACATTCTTATCCCCAAAGAGAGGAGATGGAAGATAGGCCTTTACCTGGTATCCCAGCTCTTGGGTAGCTGAGGTAGCACAGTTGGAAGTATGAGGCCATATAGAAAGTACCATCTAGATAAGGCTACATAACAAAACTCTCAAAAATAAAACAGAATCTTGACTCTAGTGGCCTGTGTTCACTATAGGAAAAGTTAGTAAAAAGAGGGCAGTGCATGAAACACTCATTCACCTGCTCATAGATAAGACAACCCCAATATACCCATCTCCCAGAGTATCTGAAACCGTGACCAACAACCCCGATATACCCACCTCCCCGAGAATCTGAAACCGTGACCAACAACCCAGATATACCCACCTCCCAGAGAATCTGAAACAGTGACCAACAACCCCGATATACCCACCTCCCAGAGAATCTGAAACCGTGACCAACAACCCCGATATACCCACCTCCCAGAGAATCTGAAACAGTGACCAACAACCCAGATATACCCACCTCCCCGAGAATCTGAAACCGTGACCAACAACCCCGATATACCCACCTCCCAGAGAATCTGAAACAGTGACCAACAACCCCGATATACCCACCTCCCAGAGAATCTGAAACAGTGACCATACGTGCTATCAGGTAGTGGATTAAAATATGGCACTAATAGTTAAAAGGCATGTGCTTCAGTTAGTTTTGTGGAGTTTATTTAAACATATTGTTCTTATTTTTATTTATGTGTATGTATGTATGTATGTATGTGTGCCATATGTGTGCAGGAACCTGCAGAAGTAAGGTGAGCTTGTCAGATCCCCTAGAACCAAAGTTACAGGTAATTGTGAGCTACCATGTGGGTGCTGAGAATTAAACCTGGGTCCTGTTCAAGGGTAGTAAATAAATAGTCTTAACTTCTGAGCTATCTCCCAGCCTGAGAATTAAACCTGGGTCCTGTTCAAGGGTAGTAAATAAATAGTCTTAACTTCTGAGCTATCTCCCAGCCTGAGAATTAAACCTGGGTCCTGTTCAAGGGTAGTAAATAAATAGTCTTAACTTCTGAGCTATCTCCCAGCCCACTAGTGTTGTTTTTTAGTTAGAAAAGCACTCCTAGCCAAGTGGTGGTGGCGCACACTTTTAATCCCAGCACTCGGGAGGCAGAGGCAGGAGGATCTCTATGAGTTCGAGGCCAGCGTGGTCTACCAGAGCTAGTTGCAGGGCAGGCATCAAAGTTACACAGAGAAACCCTGTCTCGAAAAACCAAAAAGAAAAAAGAAAAACACTCCTTCTTCAAAAAGTCGTAGTAATCTGCATTGGTGGTATAGTGATGAGCATAGCTGCCTTCCAAAGAGTAGTGGTTGACCTGTAAAGAAGCTCCTTTACCTATTAATTTCTAACATAAAAGATAGGGATCATTTAGATACTTTTTAGTTTTTGGTTTTTGTTTTGAGACAGGTCACTCTTTAACTGTGCCTAACCTGGAATTTGATGTACAAACCAGGCTGACCTCTAACTCAGAGATTCACCTAGCTCTGTCTTCTGTGCAGAGAGATCAAAGGTGTATAACCACCACACTCCACAGAAGACAGGGATCTTAATGAAACTGTAGGATATTGCTGCCATATGTTATATTGAATTTTATACTATTAGTTGCAGTGAATTATCCTGTAACCTAAAATCTTTATGCCTAGCCATATATAGATTTCTCGTTTGCAACTGAAAAAAATCCATTCTTAGCCTGTAACTAAGATGGTCCCTAGCACATAGTAGGTTGTTATGTTGATGGTCCCTAGCACATAGTAGTTTGTTCAAGTATATGAGTGGTTTTATGCTCTTAAATCATTTTCCTGTAAAACATCAGTTCCAAGCCTAGAATACTGTTTTAATAGTGAGGGGTATATTAAAGGAAATGGAAATACACATTAATTGGCTTTTTTCATCTCGTTACCCAGGGGGCACAGTTTCTAACAGAACTCGCACCTCTGTGTAAGATATACTGTTCTGATGGAGAAGAATATACCATATCTAGCTGTGTTAGAGGTCGGCTGATGGAGGTGAATGAAAATATTCTTCATAAGCCGTCTCTTCTCCAAGAAAAGGTAGGGGAGGGTGGGGAAGCATAGCCTGTCTGCGTGCCGGTTAGCAGTCATTTGACCAAGCTAAATGCTCTGTCCCCAGCCATCCACGGAAGGCTACATTGCAGTTGTGTTACCGAAATTTGAAGAAAGTAAGAGCATAACAGAAGGGCTACTGACACAGCAGCAGTACGCAGAGGTCGTGAGAAAGCGGAATAATGCCACCGCCACGCTGTGAGCCTAGAGGTGGAGAGACAGCATAGGATGCTCACCCTCCCTGGACCCAACCATCAGTGCCCTGGAGAGAGCCAGTGCATGAGAAGCATTCCTCACACCCGGCTGCGGGAGCAGCCCAATCCTGCTCTTACCTAACTCCCCTCCTTTGTCTGACTATCCCAAGCCTTGGTCCCTGTTTGTAGTCCAGCTCTACATCTGCCTGGCTCAGGTACTTGCTTTGTGTAGGGGCAAGTACAATTGTGGGCTTTCGCTTGCATATGCATGTCAGAAAACAACTTTGGATACTTTTTTACCTTTTGTTAGACAGTCTCTCTTTGACTTGGAACTTTGCCAGATAGCTCATGTACTTCCAGGGAGACACCCATCACCTCTGCTTTCTGTCTTGGAAGGTGCACACACCATGGCCAAGTTTTATATGGGCCAGAAAACCCAAACTCAGGTCTTCATGTGTTCATGATACATTACTTTTCAGTTGCTGTGATAAAATACTGTAACCAAAAGCAAAGTCACAAGAGTATTTGGGCTTGTAGTTCCAGAGGACTTGATGTCCATCCTAGTGAGGAGGCACAGTAGCAAGAACAAGCAGAGAGTGAACTGGAAGCAGGGTGAGGTTATTAACTGTCCCTGGTGATGTAATTCCCCCAGCTAGGTTTCCTGTCCTAAAGTTCTACCAACTGAAGACCAACTGTTCAAATACATGTCCATGGGTGTTATTTTTTTTCTTATTAACCTACAACATTGTTCCCATGATTTTTATAGGCCCATAGTCATATCATACAAAATGCAGCTAATCTAATATCAAAAGTTCCCATAGTCATTACAATTCGGAAGTTCAAAGTCCCTTCTAGGACTCAGTGCAATCTCTCACGTCCCCTGTAAATCAAAAAACCAGTTACATGCTTCCACCATACAAGGGCACAGAATATCCATTCCCATTCCAAAAAGGACTGGTGGGCATAGTGAGGAAATACTGAACCAAAGCATGACCAAAACCAGCGTGATACACACCAAATCCTGCAGCTCCGTGTCCACTAAGTGTTTAGTTTCAAAGGCTTTGGTTGGCTGCCCCTCCAGCATTGCTGCCTGCAACACAGATGTGATTCTGCTGTGTGCAACCTCCTTGGCGTATGGCTCGGAGCTTGGTTTCCCCACCACAGCATCAGACAGTGGCCTCTTCATGGCCCTCTTGCAGAAACTCCATCTCTACCACATGTTGCTTGGCTTGCTGAAGCCAAGAAGGGAGGAAGACTCCAGATACCTTACATTCTTTCATGCCTCCAAAACTAGTACCATGTGGAAAATACCTCAAAACTAGACGGCCAGCTTTCATTCCCTTTGTCCACAGCAGCTCTTCTTGCTTTCTAGGAAAAAATTGGAGGTTTATCTGGGTGAAGTCTTGCCTTGGCCAACTGTCCTATTGTTCCAGTTTAAAGCCGACCTTTTCTTTAATGTATTTTTTTTTTAGGTATGAGTGCTCTCTGGATGTGTGCCTAAGAGGGCATCATATCCCATTATAGATGGTTGAAAGCCACCATGTGGTTGTCAGGAATTGAACTCAGGACCTTTGGCAGAGCAGCCCATGCTCTTAACCATTGGACCATCTCTCCAGCCCTAGAACAGACTTCTTGATAACACTAATCTCTAGTAATGACAGCCTTTTCCAGAACATGACTTCCTTGTGCTTTTTCTCCAAGCTGTACATTTTGTATTTCTGCCAGACATGCTGGTTTTCCTTGGCCAGAGTTACACTATCTAGAAATATCTAAAGCCAGAAAAAGTAGTCCATTACTTTGTAGTTCAGCTTCTTGTCTGTTCTCAGGACTTGGGTAGAAAGTAGCCAGATTCTTTGTAGAAGGGTCACATAAATGGCCTCAAGCCAATTTGCTAATGGAGACATTGTTTTTCTCTGAAGCATAGAAGCCAGGCCTCTCCTGTCTACATTATCTGCAGCACTAGTTTCCTAGGTTCCAAACAGGAAGTCCTGTTTCACAGTGCTCTCAGCCTTCAACCACTTTTCTGGAACCAAAGTTCAGTCTTCCAAATTCTTCCAAGAAACTGTCACATTGTTTCCACAGCAACCTCAGTTCTGAGTACCAACGTCTATATTAGTTACCTATCTGTTGCTGTGTTAAAACACCATGTGACCAAAACAACTTAAGAGGGTTTTGTTGGGCTTGTAGTTCCAGGGGGCTAGGTGCCATGGCAGCTAGTGCAGGCTGAGATCAGACCACCACTCCCTGGAGGCACACAGTGAAGGGGAAGTGGATCGAGGCTAGACACTCAAATCTGCCCCCAGTGACAGGCTTCATCTGGCAAGTCAAAAGTCAACATTCAAAAGTGCCACCAGCTAGGGACCAAGTGTTTCGAATACATGAACCATGGGGGACTTTTCTCTGTCAACCTCCAACAGGAGGCAAGCATTTCCCCGACTGAGCCATTTCTCCAGCATTACTCTTTTACACTTGTTTCTCTGACAAATGTCAAATAAGGAATATTTTCCTGATTGAAAAACAAGCTCTTGAGAAATATTTTCAACAGTTTTTCATGTCTATAAGAAATGTGTTTCTTTTTTATGTGTTTCCCCTTGTATACATGTATGTTACATTCACGCAACACCTGTAGGTGCCAGTTCCAGGTGGTTGTGAGCCACCCCATGTAGGAGTTGGGAAGTGAACCCAGGTCCTCTGGAAGAACACCCAGTGCTTTTGACCTCTAAGCCATCTCTCCAGCCTCTTGCCTTATTTTTTTTTTTTTTAACAATTTAATACTTTGGAAAAACAAAATTAATTGTCTACCTTTCCCAAATCTGCTTGTGCAATGGAAAAGGCCCAGCCTTGCCCCTTCTGCTGTGGTGTTGCCCTCTAGTTGCTGGGGAGACAGGAGTGTGGAGTCTGCCTTCTCTGCATGGAAAGCTCTGCAAATGTACAAGGACTCTTCTAGCAGACGGAAGAAGTGTGCTGATTGTTAAGCTGGCTGCTGCCAATGCATGGGGTAGTGACTCATCGTGCACATTTTACTGACAGCTAATTTGTAGCAATCAAGGTTTTCCAGTCTGTTCTGTTCTTAGAACAGAACAAGGTTTTTACATTATGTAAGTTAGGAAAAAAAAAAAAGCTATGAAGTTCTGGTTTTAGATTAGACTTTTACACTAAATTTAAAAAGACCTTAAATCGTGAAGTTTTGTTGTTAAGAGCTGCAACATATTACGTGTCTGTCATTGCCCCGTTTTTAATAAAATAATTTTAAGTGCAAGCAAGCAGAGTTTATTGAGAAGAAAGAATCTCCCTGTAACTGGGAGGGGATTGGGATTTTAAATAAAATAGTTTTCTACATGAACACTTGATTTGTAAGTTCTGTCCTTTTGTGCCGTTGACATCACGTTACCCTATTTCTTCAACCTCCCCTGCCCAGGCATCTTGAATTTTATTTTCAGTGTGTAAAGGTATATTTTATAAATATGTGTAAGGGAAACTTTCTAAAAAGGTTTTTAGTTTATAAGACAAACTTCTTATAACCCGAGTGTCAGCATGACTATCCCTTAATTGCACCATCAGACTTGACAAATGCTATGAGTTGATGTCTACAGAGATTGCAATGGGGTGAAAATTAAGCACACAGCAGCAGATCCTCACTTTAAATGGCAGAGGGAATCTCAAGACTCATGCCGCAAGAGTCCATATCTGTTTAACAAGTTGTACCTTTCTTCAGTAGTTTTATTGCAAGTTAAAAGAACGTTTTGTTTCACAGGCTAAAGACCATGCTAGAAGTACTTTAAAATACAGACACATAAAATAGTACAGGTTGCCAGGGCACTTTTAATTTGATTACTCATCAGTATGCCCCTGCCCCAATTTGGTTAATGGATCAAAATTAAACCAGTTGGTACAAATTCAGTTATTGAACATAATTTTTATTGAAGTGTACCTTATCATGTTTAATACTAATGAATAATCCCTATTTTGTTGACCATCACATTGTTACCACATACCTGATGATCCTTAACGGTCTTATTGAGGGCTCTGCTTTATTACTAAGATGTTAACACTGAGAATCCAGTGAAGTTAGCATCCAGCTTCTCAGTTGAAAAAGAAGTCACAGAATTTCCACTCGTGTGAGTTGGTAACAATCCTGACTATTTCATAGGAGATGGCTCCATTCAATCATTTCCCATAACAGTCGGGTGCAAGATTATTCCAGTGCTTTGGGGAAAACACTGTTAATACCTGTGGTGATAGCGAAAGAGATGAGAGTTGTGTTCAGCACATGCAGAATGCGCATGCTCCTTCCCGCGGCTCTTGTTCTGATACTCGGAAATGCAGCAGATGAGCTGAGTGACCTGCGCAGTCTTACCCTGCTTTACTCGCAGCTTATAAGGCAGACAGGCTACCAGCGGAGTCAGTTCCCCCGCCCAAGAAAAGGTCTAAACTCTAGAGTTAAAAACACTAAAAATGAACATTCTAATGCCACTTTAATAAAAACACAGTGCTTAGGTTTCTGGAATTTAAACAGCCTCTTGGTTTTGATGTCTTCTGCACCTGTCATTCCATCAATACTGAAGATAGTTCAAAACTATTTTTAAACCAGTAAGAAATACTTGGAATTCCATCCACTATCCAGGACTCTGTGGTCAGCTATGCATACCGCAACTAGAATAAAAAGCCATTCCTCTTCTGGAGTTGCTCCAGGATTCTTTGGAGTGACTTCTGTTGTTTTCCTTTCGAAGCAGGAATAGGACAGTTGTAATAATGACCTTACCCAGTGAGATGCTTGTTAGAAGCAACAGTGCTAAGCAGGGATGTGACCGGGCACTTGAGGGACCCTTACCCTGCTTCAACAAGAATGGAAGGAGAGTCCACAGGCCTGCATTCAACCAGGCCACTGTATATTTTCTGCTGAAATTAGTGTTGCAGATAATCAGCTTACGTAGAGCAGTTAAGGCTGCCAAAGGGGATGTACATTCACGCTTGCATCTTTGGGATTCCGCTGGCATTAAGAGCGCTGGGATATTTGGTGTGTGCTGAGGAACATCCTGAACACAATGTCTACTTTAAACTGGCACTGCCATTAGACTCTTAGTCCTCCCACAGCAATGACTGTTGGTAAGCTTTCTAATCGGAGATCAGAAAAAAAGAAAGGTTTCTGCATTCTCTTTAAAAACTGAGGAATTTCCGAAAAGACAAAGGATCATTTGCTTTGTAAAAAGGTCGGCTGTGCTGCATGACTTTCCAGAGACGAACTACAGGCTGCTCAAGTTTTACCATCCATGGTATCTTTATTTGCCGCTGAGACCCACCTGGTATTTTCCACCTGGAGGGAAGAGTTAAGACAATTAGCTTCTGCTCTGCTCTGCTCTGCAGTCTGCAAAGTGGCTCGTGCACTAAGTTAGTAGAAGTTGAATACAGAAAAACCATCTCACCTTCTTCAGCAGCTTATAGCAGAGCGACAGGAGCTGGACCACAAGAGCCATCATGGATCTTATCTTTGTAATACACTTGTCAACCTATGGCGGCAAAGCATTGCAAAAATGCTATCATCTATTTGGTTTTACAGTGGTGAAGTTTCTCTGTCATGGAAATCTAAGAGATCTTGAAAGATATAGATTAGGGTACCAGAGGTGACATGCGGCTCCAGAACATGGGTGGCACTGACTGCCTGGGCTCACGCCTGTTTCATGGAACCCAGGAAAGATGGTGGAAGAGCCACGGCTCTACTTCAGGCTATGCATGAGCTTCTCAAAACATGCCATACACTGAGAGAGCATCCCCTTCTTGGCAATTCTTTATACTCCCCCAGACTCCTCCGGTAAATGGCAGGCGCCTCACTCCAAGGCATTTAGGCAGAGATGAAGACAGTGAAGGCAGCTGGGAGCAGTACTAGGAACTCGTTCGTCTGCAGCCTGAAATCTACCTTGTGATGCCCCGTCACAGCAGCTGCTCTCAGACAGCAGGAAACAGACTTTCTGTGCCCTTTAGCACAGAGGCTGGAGCTAACCTGACGGAGAGACATGTGAACTACGCTCCAGTGTTTCCCCAAGTCCCCGCCCTCGCCTTACCTTCAGGATCACTCTGTTCTGCAGAGATGTCTTCGTCATTGTCTGCAGCTGGTGGCATAGAGGAATGAGCTTGTTGATTTCCAGTAGAAGCATGAGTTTGTCATCATCTTTTAGCTGAAACATAATTTAAGGAGTTATTGCAACCCCAACAAAACTCCATCATTTATGCTTTTATTTTTTTTTCCCTTTTAGATAGTATATCACACATAGCCCTGGCTGACCTGGTACTCACTGTGTATAACAGGCTGGCTTTAAATGCATAGAGACCCACCTGTATTGGTCTCCTGAGTGTTACACCACCTCAGCCCATATCTCTTTTTCTCCCTTAGTGTTTGTTTCTTTTTAAATATAAAAACAAGAAATAACTCAAATCTCATAGAATGTCATTAACAAAAATCATGAAACAGTGCTTGCTTGATAGTAATGTATAGTTTCCACAAACCATGAATATTTGGTATGCTTTCTCTTTAGTGATCCTACAGACAGAACCCAGGACTTTGTGCATACTAGACAAGGTCTTCCACTGGGTCAGATCCATCCCCACAAAAATGTACACAATACAACAGAGTAACAGAAACACCATAACAGAACAAAATGTCCGCTGGATTTGCGCCTAGCCTATAGCTATGTACCTTTATGTGTTAGTAATATGCTTCCCGTGTGGGTGTGTGAAACCACTAGCCCTGGACAGGTAGACATGTATTACCTGTTTTGAAAATGTCTGTACATTTGATGTAAGCTTTAATCCCTCTGCAGCAAAAACCTGGGAGAGAGGGAAAACAGCACTGTTTTGGATCAGTGTCTTCTGGATGGTTGGTAAACAAATATTCTCAATTATTTCACAGAGTTGAAAACTAACCCAGACATTAAGAATCAGCCCCAGAACTTATAACGTTTTTCATTGTACCCCAGGTAACACAAGGGTTTAGCTGGAATCAGAAATTTTCCCAGACCAAAGACAAAATCCCCATAGAGCCTCCTTTGTACCTAAAGACATCCAGTTATTCTGCAAAGCCACACCGACCTGCAACCCACACCACACAAATTATCTATTCCTTTCTGAAGGGATCCCTGGCTCATTTCTTGAGATCTCCAGTTAGGGAGTGGAGTCATTTTTCTTCAGGATGTAACCACTGGTAACTTGCCCATGATTCAGTAAAATAACCTCTTTCCTGTACACGTGCCAACAACCCCAATTAAACAATGGGTCATTAAAAGAGAGGAGAGACATGAGAGTAGGGAGGACGTGGCCTAAGGAGAAGGAAAGGAGTTCCTGAGGGAGGGGCAGGGGAAGAATAAGATCAAAATGTAAATTCATGTATAAAATTGTCAAAAATACCTACAGAGAAACCCTGTCTCGAAAAAAAAAAAGAAAAAAAATTGTCAAAAATAATACATTACTTTTTGAATCCTCAAGTATAAGAGTCAGGAGTCCTGGGGAATGAGGTCAGGTTAAAACCAGACACATCCCACATAGCTATCTGAGAGGCAATCTAGGCGTTAACATTTTATGGTAATTTTCAGATTTTTGTCTGTTCACCTTGCATTTTACAATTAAGTGAACAAAACTATGAAGAGGAGTGAAATCCAGGCCAGATAAGTTCAAGGAACAGTCAGGACACATTAAAATCAAAACACATAAGATACTGACTGTAAAACCCCACCGCAGGGGCTGCAGAGATGGCTCACTGGCAAGAAGACCCAAATTCAGTTCCTAGCACCGAGCAACCCACAACCACCTGTAATTTCAGCTCCAGGGAATCTGACACCCTCTTCTGGCCTCTGAGGACACCTGCACAGTGGCATTCACACACTTGCATGTGCATGCCCATGAAATACACACAAACAATAATAATAAATTTTTTAAAATACTACCACAGCCGTGAGGAATGAAAATGAATGAACCTGGCAACCGACAGTAATAAGGCACATATCCGAATGATTTAGGAAGAAAAGGAGTCCTGATAGTAAGCTAGATAAAGAATGTGGACAGAGAGAGTGAACTTTGACCTCCTAGTCACAAGCTTGATACCTGGCGGTTGCTGGCTAACGTCACCTCAAGGGGAACGAACAGTCCTTTGCATTTTCCCCGAGCCCTGAAAGGGGAATCAGCAGGCTTCTTTGCTGGCACCCAATGATTCACTTCTCCACATCCCTCATCGTTCCACATTCTCAGCTCTCACAGCTTCTCTTCTGTGTCTGTCTGTCTGTCTGTCTGAACATCACGGTTGTAAAAGCACCTTACAGCCTCTTGGTGCTTCCAAACCTCTGTCAATCCTAACAT